CCAGCCACAAAAATGACCAGACTGAAACCTTTGGAACACGCTAAGAAAAATCTGCTTGTCTTGAGTCATAAATACAAGTCATCCTGACTCATGAGCAAGTCAGGCACAGGACAGAGGAACCAGTGCAAGAGAAAATACGGGCAACTAGAACGACGCTCGTATTCATCTGGACAAGCTGTTTCATTCGGTCTAATTAATGTGGTGTTGACATAGGAGGAAAACTATTTATCAGGTAAAAATAAAGAAAAACTACTTTTTCTTGTCAAAGAAGATAGCAACTCAATATTTGAAACAAAAATTACTTTTTACTTCTTCGATTCAATTAGAATGGATTGGAAAGGGTTGAGGAATCAACCAAGTTCAATCTATATTATAGAACTTTCAATCCAAGTTAAATCCGCATTATTTAACCTAATGTTGTCGATTTTTCAATTTTTGCATAAGTATTTAATATTTCAGCTCGAATACGAATTGATCTACACAAATTATCTCTCTCTTTTTTGGTGTATTGAAAGATAGAATTGACTCGAGATTCTAACATTTCCAAGAATTCCTCCTTGCTGCCCATATTAAAGGGATTCCTCCTTGCTACTCCTTCTCGTACTTCCTAATCTTCACAAATCCTCTTCATATCTTGAGACAACCAATCCCTCGAATATTTGAAATTCTCCAAATCATGAAGTTATAGTGGTGCTCATGCACTAGATTGAGAGAAAAAAAAAATATTGGGGACATCTCTAAAATTTTAAAAGAAAAAAAGAGGGGAATATCTCTAAAATTATAGAACGCTCAAAAGTCTTTCTCTAATATGTCACCGGACAGGGACGACAAACCAATTTCAATTCTAGCATTGCAGCCCTCTTGCTATTTTGTTAATAAATTAGTGAACATTCAAAAAGTATGTGGCTCTGGTAAGTGGAAGACTTAGTACTAGGAAGTTGATTGGGATTTGGCACCCTACCTGATAAGTCAGTTTCTGCATACAAATGATTTAGCATGACGAAGACATTATTCATCATTCTCCACGGTAACTCATTTACAATTCAATAAGTTTCAATTTTATTCAATAAGTGATTATCACCGGTGTATATATATATAGTAAGGGTAGAATAGAAAGTATACCGAGATATATGGAAGTAAAAAAGAGTGGACTAAGAAAATAATTTTTTATTATAAAGATGACTTTTTCAACTATATAATTGTGTGAAAATAATTAATATCTAACAAGGCTAAGCTTTGTTATGCAATGTGCACCTATCTATATAATAATGTAGAACAATTTTAAATTCAATAGACAAAGAGTGGTTTAGATCATTTAGAGATAAAAAAAGGCATCATCCAACGACCAACAATATTTCAAACTGTCTCAAACTATTGACATTTCAGATCGTTTCGATCCAACGTATCATATTAGCTCTTGAAAATTTTTTGCCGCTCAAAACTTTTAGTTTCCAAAACTAACATCCCTAAATTTAATTTTTCAACCCAATTAAATCCAGAAATTAAGCGATCTCTCATTTCTCAACTTTGTCTCTCTCTCTCTCTCCCTAAAATACAGAGTACAACTCTTATCATTATTTTCCTGATTTTATTTTCTATGTCAAAGGATTACTTTCTATACTGACATATTGACTGTCTCTCACACTCTCATCTTTCATGATTCTCTTTCAAAACTGAGACACATGTCTCTCCAAAATTCTATCCTAATGTAACTATTCTTTATCTGTATTGTTCATATCACATATATCTCTTACTGTAGATATATATAGTACAAAGATTGAAGACATATTATATCTACATGTTATATCTTGAAAAAATTTCATCTAAACATCATGTAGTTGAGTCTAAATTCAATGAAAAACCCCTATAACAATAACTTTTTTCTCTATCGGTATATAAAATAATGATTTAATTAAATATTTTGTAAAAATACTAAAATTACCATTTATTATGTAAATGACCTAAAATGTCATCAATTCTTTTCCCATTATATAGTCGTCAGCCAGTCAACAAACGTAATTTCAATCATAATATTATCCCAATGAATTTTTTATTTGAAAACATTGTATTATAANTCATTGTTAGTATGACATATAAGGACAATGTATACAAAGAGTATCACATCATCAATCATGAAATTTGAAATTGCTTTTAAAACTTGTGAATAGTGTAAAAATATGGTACTCTAAATGCAAGGATGACAAAGTTAAATTTATAAAACTTTAATTGATTCCTCCTAAATCGTGTTGTTTTATTGTAAAAATTTTGTTCAAGTTGGTTAATCTTCATATAAGATGATCCCCACTTTATAATTTGGGCGCCTGTAAATTTCTATTGCATTAAAAGAACAAAGATTATAGTACTTAAGACATGAAAAGATTACAAAACATTAAAAGAAACACTCTACAGGAACATAAACAAATCAAACCTAATATTTATCCAACTCCCTCGTGCTTCCTCTTCAAAACTTGAGACAACCAAACCATCCAACCAGGTGAAAGACTATCTCTACTTTTTGGGTATCTGTAATTTGATTCATAAAAATAACTTATCTATGATATAATTGTGCATATTATATATTCTCCAAATAATGAAGTTATAGTGGTTCTCATGCACTAGATTGAGAGAAAAAAAGTTATATTGGGGACATCTCTAAAATTTTAGAAGAAAAAAAGAGGGGCATAAATCTATGCAATTTACAAGTATAGTAATAATACAATTAAGCTAAATCAAATTAACTCTTATGTTTCAATCATTTGGGGTCGACTATATGACTATATCTTCGCCATTCATTTCGGTAATAGGTTATATGCTCATTTAAGTTAAATATTTTTATATATTTTTTTATTATTTTGTTCACTGTTAATTTAGGTATACCCATATACTCTTAGTACCATTAAGAGAAATTTTATCATTTTTTTTATCCGGGTTTCTATTGGCCTCTATTGAACATGACCAAATTATCTTAATCTATTCTCTCTCAACTTATCAGTAATTGGAGCTACTTCTACTATTTCTTTAGTATGGTCATTTCGTATTCCATCTTTTCTAGTTTTTCTACGCATCTACCTTAACATTCTCATTTATACTATACTCATTTTGCTACTATTTTGTTTCCTAGTTGCCCAACATTCTGTCCCATACAAACATTATTGTTCTTATAGTTGTTTGGTAAAACTTGTCTTTTAATTTTATTAATATCTTTCTATAACACAATATGTCAGAGGCTTTCCTCCACTTAAGCCAATTGACATTAATTCTCTGAGTTAACATCGTCTCCAATCTCTCTATCATCTTTAATGATCAATCATAAATATTTAAATTGTTTACTCGTTGTAATTTCTTGATTTTTAATCTTAACTTTTTTACTATGTCTATTTTTTTTATTATTAAAATTGCATTACACATATTCAGTTTTACTCAAACTTATTTTAAACTCTTTTAACTCGAGTGTCTTTCTCCAAATTTTTAACTTATTGTTAGGCTACATCAGGTTTCATCTATTAAGACAGCATTATTTGTAAATAACATACACCATGGTATATCATATTGAATGTGGCTAGTGAGTTCATCTATAATTAAGAAAAATAGGTATGGATTTAGAGCTCATCATTAGTATAATCCCACTCCGATTGAAGTATAGTAATAGTATAAGTAAGAAGAAATAAATTTCCAAACATTCTGAATATTTAGAGAAAAGATAGGGAGCCTTCGAAAGTCAATAGCTATCACATGGGTAGCAGCTAAAAAATGCCAATTATGACCTAACCTTTAGCCGCATAGAACGCTCAAAAGTCTTTGTCTAATATATCACCGGACATGGACATGGACATGGAGAAGGAGAAAGCAATTTCAATTCTAACATTGCAGCCCTCTTTCTCTCTTGTTAATAAATTAGTCAACACTTAAAAAGTATGCGGCTCTGGTATAAGTGGACTTTAGCAGAAGGAAATTGATTGTGGCGTTTGGCACCCTCCCACCTAAGTCAGTCAACTTGCACAATTTTTGCATAGACATGATTTACCATGATTCCCACTCCTCTACCCAATTTCATCATTCTCCTCAACTGATTTGATGAATATAATATAATTTTCATTTGTATATAGTGTTGTCNCAGTACGTAGGACATATAAACCCTGTTGTTTTGGTGATTAGGGTTAAGTGTGGATGCTACAGCCGTTCTTTGTATTCAACTCTCTCAATAGTGAAATCCCTGCAGCTTCGTGGATGTAGACAAATTGTCGAACCACGTAAAATCTGTGTCTTGTTCTTTCTTGTTTGNCTCTCTCAATAGTGAAATCCCTGCAGCTTCGTGGATGTAGACAAATTGTCGAACCACGTAAAATCTGTGTCTTGTTCTTTCTTGTTTGTTATTGCTTTATATTCTTGATTTGTTCTTCGATTGTGTGTGTTTGTTAGTGGATTTAAATCGTGAGAAATCCCAACATCCTGTTGTTTTGGGTGCTTCTTGCTCCTTTCTTTCTTGCTGCTGCTCCTTGGATTGGAGGGTCTGATTCTGTATTTTTGGGCATTCTTGGAAGAAATTGCATTCTGATTGCTATTGATGGTGTCATGGTCTGCAGCGGGTTTTTGCGGCTGTCTGAAGGCACTATTCACGTGACTGTTCACGTGCACAGTTATGTTGCTGCTTTGCTGTTTTTGTATGTGGCTTCCAGCCGGTTTTTTCTTCTGTTCTTTCAGCTGGATTTCAACTGGAATTGTGCATTTCTGCTGGCCATTCTGCTGTGTTCTGGGCTGTTGTCTCCTGTACTGTTCACGTGCACAGCATAGTGGCTATTCAGTCCCCTTTGGAATATGCATTGTTTCCTTTCTTTGTTTATTGTGCCATGGGGATGGAGGATCTTCTTTTCTTGCTTTAAAAAGATCTTCCATCCCTTTTTGTTTCACATGTGTACATGTTTCCTTTTTGTTTATATGATATTTGCTTACTTACCGAAAAAAAAAAGGTGGTCTATATTAATGGCTGGCACATTATCTCTATGCCCATACATCAAAATGCACAGAAAAATGCTTCTGCTTCTTGGCTGGCTATGTCTTTATGGATTGACCATGTTCACTTTGGTCACATCCCAGACAAACCACTCCACCACCTGCAGCAGCACACGTACATGATCAGTAAAGGCGCCAACATCACCAAACCCCGCTGCCAACGCCAATGCGGCAACATCACCGTCCCATACCCATTTGGGATTGGAACCGGTTGCGCCATTGACAGCTGGCTTGAGATCAATTGCAACACTTCTTTCAACCCTCCCAAGCCATTCATAGGTGGCGTTGAGGTTCGAGACATATCCGACTCCCAGGTTCGCATTACCAACGTCGTGGCTAACAAGTGCTATGACCGATTGGGTGCGTTGACCCATGAATACATAGCTTGGACCAATTTATTAAGCTCAAGCCCATACAGCTTCTCCGACGCAAATAAGTTCACAGTCATCGGCTGCGACGATTTGGCATTGATTACTGGCTCAGAGTCAAAGGGACGTAATTTCACCAGTGGGTGTGTGTCCGTCTGTGCCAAAGCCGAGGACGTGCTTGGTGGCTATTGTTCTGGCATGGTTGTTGCCAAACATCCATGCCTAAGGGTCTAAAGTACTATTTTACTTCTCTCACTAGTTTGAAGAACCACACCACGGTCTGGTCCTTTGATCCTTGCAGCTATGCGTTTCTTGGGGAAGAGAACGCCTTCACGTTTCGCGGTGCATCGGATTTCTTGGATCCAGACTTCATGAACAAAACTTTGTCTACTGTCCCGACAGTGCTCGACTGGGTGATCGGGAATCTGAGTTGTGCACAAGCCAAAGCTGCAAATTATTATGCTTGCCGAGGGAACAGTTATTGTAATGACTCGGATAGTGGTTTTGGAGGTTATCGTTGTAGCTGCAATCAAGGTTATGAGGGCAATCCATACCTAAGCCCAGGTTGCCAAGGTTGGTTTTTTTCTTCGATAACTATTTGTCTAGGGTGCATAAGTAGGTATGGTACAGAAGTGTATAAATGTTTTGGGTTAATGATGCAAGTTTGTGGTGTCTAATTACAACTAAAATGTTGGATCGATCCCAAAAGAACGACAGTTGAAATAACTGCTCGAAAGTCTTGTGTTTTTTGATATTTTTCTAAAACTAATAAAGGAAAAAAAAATCCGGCGGTTATGGCCAATTAAACAAACTTGCCCCACAATATCACTTTTTCCTTTCATATAGAAATGAAAAATAAATGATACGAATTATAACTTTTTGAAGAATTCGAGACATATTAAAAATTTTAGAGTTCAAGTTATAATTTTTATAGAGTTAAGTTATAATTTTTTTGTGCATTTGGAATCGATCACAAAAATTCTAAAAAAAGGTTATAAATGATTCAAAAACATTATACAGTAATTGTTAAAAAGTCGTACATTGTACAATACAATTGTTTTTAGTAAGGTAGCATTCTTTATTATTTCTGACCAATATGACTTGGTATATTTTGTTTGATAGATATCAATGAGTGTGCAGATCCGAACAGATGTGTGTGAAAATATTTGCATAAACACTCCGGGGAGTTATAATTGTTCTTGTCCGCAGGGACACTATGGTGATGGTAAAAAAACTGGGAGTGGTTGCATTGCTGAGAGCTCACAATTCCCAGTAATCAAGTTCACTCTAGGTAATCATTTACTAAGTTTATTTTCCATTTTTAATGAGAAATCCTATTGCAATTCGCTCTATCTTAAATTCAATTTCCGATCCGACCTAGCAAATTGGTAAGTAGGAGCATCTGCCCAATCTAGACCTTGAACTCTTCATTTTGTTCTAAGAGTGCCACTTTTGTTGTTAGGGAAGACTCGTTTTCATGACTTTAATGTGTCTTTGGAAAAAAAAAAAAAACATGCAGGTATGGGGTTTGGCTTTTTGTCATTACTCATTGGAATTACTTGGCTATATTTTGTCACCAAAAAATGGAATCTTATTACACTCAAGGAGAAATTCTTTCATCAAAATGGTGGTTTATTATTGAAACAACAAATTTCTTCAAATGAGGGTGGTGTCGAGTCAGCAAAAGTTTTTACAGCTGTAGAGCTAGAGAAAGCAACCAACAACTATGCTGATGATCGAATGCTTAGCCGAGGAGGTTGTGGTACGGTCTACAAAGGAATTCTTCCTAATCAACGTATAGTTGCAATCAAGAAGTCTAGAATAATGGATGAAAATCAAATAGAGCAATTCATCAATAAAGTGGTTATTCTTACACAAGTTAATCATCGAAATGGGGTCAAGCTCTTGGAGTGTTGTTTGGAGGCTGAAGTCCCTTTGTTGGTCNGGATGAAAATCAAATAGAGCAATTCATCAATAAAGTGGTTATTCTTACACAAGTTAATCATCGAAATGTGGTGAAGCTCTTGGAGTGTTGTTTGGAGGCTGAAGTCCCTTTGTTGGTTTATGAATATGTGTCTAACGGTACTCTTTACAATCATATTCACAACAGAGGAGGAATGGCTTGGTTATCATGGGAGAATAGATTAAGGATAGCTACGGAAGCTGTTGGTGCATTTTCTTATCTTCACTCGGCAGCTTCCAAGCCCATCATCCATAGAGATGTTAAGTCAGCTAACATATTGTTAGATGACCAATACACGACAAAAATATCAGATTTTGGAGCTTCAAGGTTGGTTCCCATTGATCAAACTCAAGTTAGTACTTTAGTTCAAGGGACATTAGGGTATTTAGATCCTGAATACTTCCATACAAGTCAGTTAACGGAGAAAAGTGATGTTTATAACTTTGGAGTGGTTCTTGCAGAACTCTTAACGGGGAAAAAAGCCCTTTGTATGGCCAGACCCCAAGATGAAAGAAATTTAGCAACATGTTTTATCACGTACTTGAAGGAAAACCGTTTATTCCAAATTCTTGATCCTCGAGTGGTGAGGGAGGGCACTCTAGGNAAAAGTGATGTTTATAACTTTGGAGTGGTTCTTGCAGAACTCTTAACGGGGAAAAAACCCCTTTGTATGGCCAGACCCCAAGATGAAAGAAATTTAGCAACATGTTTTATCACGTACTTGAAGGAAAATCGTTTATTCCAAATTCTTGATCCTCGAGTGGTGAGGGAGGGCACTCTAGAGCAGCTCCAAACAATTGCAAAGCTCGTAAAGAAATGCCTTAACTAGAATGGTGAAGATAGACCAACAATGAAGGAAATTGCAATGGAACTTGAAGGTTTAAGAAAGTTCACCAAACATCCGTGGGTTCATCAACAAAAAAATGAAGAAGTTGTGGGATTAATGAGTGAGAGTGAACCAGCAGATCTTTATATNCAACAATGAAGGAAATTGCAATGGAACTTGAAGGTTTAAGAAAGTTCACCAAACATCCGTGGGTTCATCAACAAAAAAAATGAAGAAGTTGTGGGATTAATGAGTGAGAGTGAACCAGCAGATCTTTATACTGTCCCAACAAGCCCTTACAATAATAATGGGGACATCTCTGGACAACACAGCTTGGACAGTAATCAGATGATGTTCCTGATAAATAGCCCTCGCTGATTGGTCATTTTGTATTAAGTTTAAGTTCTTTTAGACATCCATGTTGTTCCTTTTTTTTTTTCACCTTTAGCTTTCCTTAATGAATTTCTATCTCTATTTTATTACTTTCCCTTGTTAGATATTTATTCCTTTTCTCTCTGGTTAAAGATGTTTTCAGTGATGTAATGTTCACTTAACTCCAGTCATGAATTCTAAAGATGCAATGAGCTCAAGCTTCTTCACCAAATGGGTTCCTATTATTTAGCAATCAACCTTTTATAATGGGGGAATGTTATTTGTACCTAATTTAGTAATATAATTTGTTGATATAATGGATAATAGCCATTGAATTGATACTGCGTCTTAACTAATAGTGGGATCCACTGTAAATCTAATGATAGAGAATAATAAGGTCAACAAATAAGATTTATGTAGCATTGCTCTTTATAATCGCATACATTTTTGTAATAAGGTGTTAGAATACATTTTCACAGCCTTGTTAGGTGCTATGACCCATTTAAGGGTCCACCTAAGTTACGTAGCATGTACTTAACAAGGATTTTGCTAGATATTTGGTTCATAGATCATAAATTTAACCTCGCATATCATTGACTTGTTTGTTGCAACTATGAAGAAGTAACAATTATGCAACCGTGGATATTTATCAGATTAGATCACAAAAATTGTCTTTGTTGTGTAATTGTCACTAAGCTATGGATTTGATAATTTGTAGTTGGTTTGTTAGAATAAGTTGTAACTACTAAAAGATTTTGGATTATTAATATATTTTCATACGTCANTATCAGATTAGATCACAAAAATTGTCTTTGTTGTGTAATTGTCACTAAGCTATGGATTTGATAATTTGTAGTTGGTTTGTTAGAATAAGTTGTAACTACTAAAAGATTTTGGATTATTAATATATTTTCATATGTCAAAGGCAAATTGACACAACATAAATAGAAATAGAAATTCGTTATATTATTTCTGAAACGAATGCATTATGACAAAGTTCAAAACTACATTTTTTTCGGAAGGTAAAAATATATTTTATAACACTGGTACAAATAAACAACCTACAGGAAGATAGCCTGTAGAACAACACAAAAAATAATACACAAGTGAGCTGAATTTTGAAGAAAGTGAAGGCCATGAGCCACCACTTCCCCCAAAATACAAAACACAGGCGCAAGGAGCAAATGCAACACAAATACAACAATCCAAAGCAGACAAGCTAGGAGTATTGTTCGCACAAGCTATCAAACACACACAGCACGCCCAAGTACATAGGATTACTCAAGGCAAGACATCCTAGTCAAGTGTTAGCTGGTCCAAAGGATGAGAACAATCCAGGGCAACAAAGAGCACACCATAGCAGATAGGCTCCAAGCCGTGGCAGAGAACAGGCAAAACAGCCCCAATCAACCGCATACCAAGGGCAAAACAGCCCAACATANAACATATTAGATATATTTAATTGTTAAGTGTATCTAATTGACTTGGGAATACAAGTGATTGAATCTTGTTATGTGGTTAATGTTTTAGAAAAGTAAGTGATCAAGATATATCTTGAAACCTATATATACGTTGAAAATATGGAATACATGTTTACAAAATTATTCCAAAAACTAAGTTCAACTTCAAAGAATCAATACGGGTCTTCTTCTTGAGTTGTGTTGCTCTTAGAAAGGGTTTAATGTATTCTCTCTCTAAAATGCCACACTCCTCCCTAGCAGTCTGGGGCTACTAATCTGGGCTAAACACGCATGACGAGTTCACTATGAGACAAACACTCTTCCACACAAGNAGCAACAACCCCACTCTGCAATAAGGTCAGAAAAGTGACCAAAAAATCGAGAAAACAAAGGAACCACAGAGAAGCGCAGCAGGGATACAGCAACAGAAGGTAGTAGGCACAACAACACTGCAACCAAACCGATCAACCCAGATCAAGGACAACCNGGAGGAAGATGCTATGGTTAGTGAGCTTATTGACCCAGACACACGGTGTTGGAAAACTCAGTTGATTGATAATGTTTTTTTAAAGTATGAAGCCCAGGTAATTAAAGAGTCCTCAGTCAAATTAAAATATTTGTGTGGAGGATATCTTTAAATGCCCCCCTACGAATGCGAATTTTTGGCTTAGGAATATTAGACTAGATTGTGTGATGTGTTTGCGGGNTGATATTATTGTTCCCTCTAAACACAAATATTTTGGTCTTTTGTGTTGATTGAATTTGTCACTAAAGAGTTCTTACGTTGGTGAAAGATTATCATCCCTAGAAAATATAAAGTAGTAGCGGCTATTCTATGTTCGACTTGGTGACGAATTTGTCGTGCCCACCCGATGACCTTTTTTTTTTCTCTCCACTGAGACTTTTTAGTTATGAAATAAAAAAATTTCATGACGATTTTTTCCCTACTTTCTCTTGGGACAAGTCATTATCCNTTGTCGTGCCCACCCGATGACCCTTTTTTTTTCTCTCCACTGAGACTTTTTAGTTATGAAATAAAAAATTTTCATGACGAATTTTTCCCTACTTTCTCTGGGGACAAGTCATTATCTGACCGAATTTTCTATAATGCTTATGTACGTCAAGAGAAGTAATTGATCAATGGCCTCAATATGTCCTTGGAGAAATAAATAAAATACTTTTATGACCTATCAACCTTAGGACCATGTAGAAAATATAACAACTAGACGAGAGCAAAAATAATTACGACAAATAAAGCATATAGGTCTAGAGAAACATAAGCAATTCCTTTATTTTCTCATTCACCTGCTTGTTCTTTATTTATTTTCCAAGTCTTGTGTATATCAAACAACATGGGCATGCAAAGCCTTAATTGATAGAAAGCATTGAGGCCCCAAATTTTTCTTCCAATTTAGGGGTCACAGGCAATGGCCATAGTGGCCTATAGGCTAGGTCGACATTGGCCTTAGCCTCTGTTAAAAATAACATATTAGATATATTTAATTGTTAAGTGTATCTAATTGACTTGGGAATACAAGTGGTTGAGTCTTGTTATGCGGTTTATGTTTTAGAAAAGTAAGTGGTCAAGATATATCTTGAAACCTATATGTATGTTGAAAATATGGAATACATGTTTACAAAATTATTCCAAAAACTAAGTTTCATTGTCTTTGTTTTATCTGTCACAAATATACAAACACTGAAATTATAGCCAACAACCTCAAAGAATCAATACGGGTCTTCTTCTCGAGTTGTGTTGCTCTTAGAAAGGGTTTAATGTATTCTCTCTCTAAAATGCCACACTCCTCCCTACCTGTCTGGGGCTTCTAATATGGGCTAAATAAGCATGATGAGTTCACT